GGAGCTTCCGTTCCAACAAGGTCCTTGGACACGCGCCCGAAGAAAGCAGAACAGCGAAAATGGTCCATGCAGCCGTCACGCCATCAAGATGTGTTGCATCTTCTGCAGGACTGTGGTCTCTCTTTTCGTTTTCATAATCTCGATGAGCTGTGCGGCTGCACGCAGATGTACGACACTCAGATAATGGGACGGTTTGAATGTCGCAATCGCGCATGCACTTCCGAAGGCTGGTCGAGCAAGATTATCGCGATCACTATACGGCTGTATGGAGACTCGCGCTACAACGCCAGAGTATACCACCAGCGTTGCCGCCGTTGCAACCGACTCAGTCGCCCAACGCTGGATGACTCGTACGCAGAGAGAATAGCATACCGCCTGAAGAAATGGAGTGGTATCGAGACGGAACCACCCAAGTACTCTGGTCAGAGCAAAGGTCCACATCAAAGCAAGTTTTGTGAGGGGTGCAAGGATGGCCATTGCAGTTTCAACAGCTCCGGATCAGCCTGAAAGAATTCGATAACCTCAACTAAAGTGCCAGCCTTGAGAACTTCATGGAGTGCAGTCTCTACATGGCGGATCACATCCTGTTGCAAACAAGCGAAACAATATGTAGATGAGTCAACAGCGATTGTTACCAGAACCGCGTTCGAAAGTCCTGAATCTGCGAGAATCAACGTTTGCTTCCGGTGATCATTATAAGCTTTGGCGATCAACAACACCGCAAAACGCAAGAAAATCGCATGGAGAGGGTTCATCGTAACCTCCATTCTCAAAGACGTAGCTATGCTGAGCTTCCCGCTGGGTCACCCATTCTTGATACGTTGCCAGGTTTCGAGATTGAACGCGATCAGTAGTTTCCCTCAGGAGATCGATGCCTTGAGACGCGGCGTCCAACAAGAGCTGTCCCTGGTCGATGACTTGACGACGGATACAGGCACAATACAGTCTGTGAGCGACTTCATCGATGAATTTTCCGTGGTCTCCTAGAATCCGTTCATCGAGATAGTGCAGATGCGAAGGCCCAGAGAGACCGACTTTCCAACCGCAGAGAACCATAGATAGTTGGTCACAGACGACGTCTTCTGGTGAAACGTTGAGATCTTCTAACATGGACTGTACCAGAGAACGTGCATCAAATTCTGATCCCTGCCGAGACTTCTGAGCCAGGTCTGAGCGAAGGGATTCAAGATGACGCTTCTCGTTTCTGTAGTTTTCGAAACAGGCAGGAAATAGCCCAGCGAAAGTAGATTTTCGAAGTGTATGGAACTCAATTCTGGTGAGTATTGCCGATTGCGGGATCCTCTGCCAGACAAGGTTTTCGGTTTCGAAGAGCGGACTCCATTCAAGGCCAAGAAAGTCGCGAATCCTCTTGCAGGAGACCATTCTTCCTCGTTCTAGAAGTGTTGTGTCGATGCATATTATGACAACATCAGTATGGCCATCATCGTAAAGCATCTTAGCGCGGTTCAGGGCTCTCAGCAGATCCCACGTGGTTGATATAACACGTGTTGGATTTACATTCCATGATTTGCCATGGCAATCAATATCTGCTCTCAGCTCTTCTCGTTCTATTTCACCTTCATGGGTCTTTTCTTGCAGTACGCGTAGTGCTGTCAGACCCGTGCTCTGCAGGCGAATACGCGTGCCATTGATAACGCTTCACTCGTTGGCTCATCGTCAGAGTCCTGGGTTTTATGATTGTCCTTTTTTTCCGTCTCTTGAGAGAATTGGCCCTTTCAGTTGGTGGTACGTCGCCTATATTCGTTACACTCCATTTAAAGGCTCATTGATACCGCGGCACATACTGGGGGTGTTCGGCAAAGGGCTGATACTTGTCAACGCCAGCTGATTGGAGAGCGCCTCCATTATATCGGATTCAATCGTAGAGTCGTCCAGACGATCGAGTCAGTCCACTCGTGCTCTCCAGAGCCGACAAGAGAGAAAACAAGAGCCTGTGTTTGTTGATATATGCTTTCCAAACTGGCACACGCCCAAGATTTTCCCCTTTAAGCCCACGTGCATTTCGGGGGCGACGGGGTCGGCCTGGTAATGAGGCATGTAGAGAGATCTACACGATTTCTAAAGATACGCGTGAATCGGTAGCGAAATTGTGCAGATGTGTTGGTGGCGTCACATATGCCAAGCAAGAGTGTGCAAATAGCGAGGCAGTGTTGCGATGGTCGGGATTTGTATATTGACCAGGTGTATTGGTTGGACTAGAATTGTTGATCACACAGTTCCAGAATTGCGCCGCGTGCAGCGCCAGCTCAGTCGACATCACTGTGCTGTAGATAAGCGCGCCGCCTTGTTCATGTGGCGGGCGGCAAACAAACAGTAATCCAATGAATATCGAGTGCGTCGGGCTGACTGGTTTGAGGAGCAACAGATGATAATTTAAGAGACGAAAAGCAACAAGGAGTTGGGCTGCGATGAATAAGCATAGTGTAGGCTAATTGGGTACCAGACCAGTAGCAAGGGCATTCATGACTGTCCATACATTCGAATTACGCATACAAGTCCTGGTAGATGCCAGCACACAACCAACCATACTGTATGCACGTCCGGCTGGAATGGTCCTCGACAGCGAGATGATCCTTCAGACCTGTATTGGCTCCATTCTTGAATACGCGCTGCTGTCAAAGGTAATGCGCCTCGTGAAGCAGGTGTTGGATCGAGGCGAGTCGATTGCGCAAATATTGACAGGCTGTTGAGCTGTCGCAAGAGTGTGCATCCATCCGAGCGTAGGCCTATGGGTAGCCTCGTCTGCTGAGTAGAGGACTCCTGTGCAACAAATATCGCACTGGGCCATCCTAGGCTAAGACTTGACTTGTATGTGACGGCATGATCATGACGGTTGCCAACAAAGGATCAACCAGTGGCAGCAGAATAGGGCACACACCGATCGGGGCTAATTTTATCAGATGCAAATTTTTCTCCTTCGCGCCCTTATCAATCAGATCGGATCAATCCTTGGTCTAATCCGTCTGTGCCCAAAGGGTCGGTGCGCCTTTAGCCATCGAGGTGGTCGTGGGACCTCGTACTTGGTTCTTGTATAGTTTCTCGCTTTTGAACTTACTTGAATTTTTTTATTTTCTTTCGGTGAGAACTGTGAGCCAGTGTTGATGGGTGGAGACGCTGCAAGCCTGACTGACCGCCTTATTCTAGGGCTGTGAAAGAAAAAAATCGGGCTGCAGGTTACATTGATTGTGGAGCCCTAAATCGAGATGGATGTCGCCGAGCGGTTAGTGTCGGGGCTTGGAGTGGACTGAGCTTCTTTCTGTTGAGGGGATGGAGGACATCGCAGACCCTCCTCGTTCATACTGAAAACGCGAGGACAGTCAAAGGAGGATGTAGAATGAGCATGGAATTGGAGACTTGAAAGAGAAATCGACTTCGATGTATGCTCTATTGTATCCGCCTCTTCTTGTAGAAAAACTCCCCATCTGCCCCATAACCCATCACGAAAAGACACCAGTGCACCGAGCTGAAAAGCAGAGCTGAGATTATGCAAACGACTTCTTGAGATATTCATAAATGGAAAAGATGATGGCGGAGCTGGGCGCGGAGCGAGCGACGGTGATACCGCAGCCACGGTACATGCCCTTGAGACCATGCTGTCTCCAGACGGCGCGAGCGACTGAGCCGAAAGTCTTCTGTTTCTGACCGGGGAGGAGAGCGCTAACGGCTTCTGTCTGCATACGCGACTTGATGGTGTCGGCAGGATAGAAGAGGAAGTTGTAGCTCATACCAGCAGCAGCTCCAGCAATCATTTGCTGGTATAGAGGCAGGGAGGTGTCCGCACGTGTCTTGTTCTCTTTCTGCAGGTTTTTGAAGGCCAGAGTGACCGACTCGTATGCGCCAAACCAAGCAGCCGAACCACCCATCTCGCGGATGAGGGTTCCCATCTGTCCATGCCAGAAGCCAGCGATGCCGTAGTGGCGGTATACCGAGGAGATCAAGCTGAGGGGCTTTGGACGGGCAAAGACGCCTGGAGAGGTCTCGACAGGCACTTGCATTTTGCACTTGATGAGCTCGATCGGGGTGAGGAGCAGCGAAGCAAAGGCGCCAGAGAAGGCACCGCAGCCGATCAGAGTGTGCAGCGGCAGAGGGTCGATGTTTTTATAGACTGTGGCCTGGAGGGTGTCTTGAGCGACTTGGTAGCTGAAAAACAGACTGCTGGTCTCGACGGCGGCTCCAAACAGAGGAGCGCTAATGCCGCGGTAAAGGCCTGCTAGACCGTCGCGGCGGAAGGACTGGCGGAAGCAGTCGACAGGACCGGTGTATCGGAGGGGCATGTTGTCGGGCTGAGACTGTAGGCGAACCTTGACAGTGTCGAAGGGATATTCGATGTACTTGCCAGCCATGCCGGCAAAGGAACCGAAGAGGACATCTTTGAGGGCGGTAATGGCTTGTTGCTGGGCCTGAGAGGGCTCTATGTGTTTAGCCAGCGAGTCGGCGGGAAGGACATGGTGTGCATCGCGGACGTCCATCAGCAGAGCGTGCTTTCTCCGAGGAAGCGAGAGATGGAATTGGGAAAATGTAGAGTAACGTTTTTGTCGATGCTATCGTGGGAGCATGGTATGAGTGAGACAACGAGGTGCACAGAGATGAGTCTTGCGGTGGGATGTGAGAGAGGAAGAGGGAGAAAAAAGGCGCACAGAAAAAAGGTTGGTGATTGGAGGGGTCGACTTTTGTGTGTAACTTACGATTGCGTCTCTCGTACAACTTTCATGTGCTAGCGTTGGCCCGCGCGTCGTGGAGCAGCCGCGACCCGCGTCGGGAGACAGGAGACAGGAGACAGAGGCCTGACAGTAGATGATGATTGTGATGAAGGTGACAGATCCATGTCTCTAATTTGTGATGGCCGTGCTCCGCTCCTTCCGCCGACGCAGTCGAGAGTCGAGAGTCGAGAGCCAAGACTTGTGGGGGTCCTTCCGCCTTTGAACATTTGCGTCTCCAAAAAGTATTCTCTGTAGAACATCATCCCAAACACCACAAATATGTCTACTGTCACGTCCGATGCCCCTGTCGCCAAAATCCCGCAGGTGACGGGTATGCGCAAGAATGGTGAGTCTTTTTTGCTTGTCGATATCGCGCTTGCGTCTTTTATTTTCTTGTTCTTTTGCGCCATCAATCTGCGAATATGACTGTGCCTTGTGCACTGTGACTAACAATCTCTCAGGCAAGCAATGGCACGAGAACAAGAAGGCCTTCCGCCCCACAGCAGGCCAGACGTCGTACGCAAAGCGCCAGGCCAAGGACCAAGCACTCGCCGTCGTAAAGGCACAAGAGAAGGAGATGAAGGAAGAGAAGGAGGCCGAGCGTCAGGTTAGACACTGCCGGAGGACATGTTCAGGAACTGCGACTAACACAGGGACAGAGACGTATCACAGCACTCAAGGAGAAGCGCGAGGCAAAGGAAGAAAAGGAGCGCTACGAGAAGATGGCTGCCAAGATGCACCAGAAGAGAGTCGACAGACTGAAGCGCAGAGAGAAGAGAAACAAGCTTCTCAAGTCATAGAGGACTGCAAGAAGTGTCAAGCAGTGACGGACAGAGGAGGAAGAGGGCAAGGCACACAAGCATTGAAAGATACCCTGGCTGCATATTCATGGCGTTTTTGGCGTGGACAGGTACTGGAAGAGGACAGCAAATGCATCTACCATTTTACGTTTCTTGAATTTGATCTTTGATCGTTCCTTCCACCTTTTGAGAAATGTAGTTATGTGACGTCGAGGCAGGAGTTTAGGCCCAGCTTTCGGAGATTGCGCAACCGCGACCATGACGCCCACTTCGTGACCCAAACACGACTGTTGACCATGGCACACAAACATGGACAAGAAGGAAAAGAAAGAGAAGAAGCACTCGGGCTATCATCGACCACACCGTCACCACCATGCGCGCGACACGATCCAGTCGGCAGTCCAGCTGCAGCATCCATTCTCCTTCGACAACTACAACCCTCTGCGACGAGCCCAGCAGCACCATCACCACAGATCCCGCCGTGACNCCGTCTCCAGAGAANGGCCCACCAGAATCCAGAAGAAGAACAGGAACAAGAAGCCCCGAAACNCACAGTGGTCGCCCGAAGTAGAATATGCCGTCGACCACCCTCCACAGCGTCTCGTCACTGCCGACACGGTCGCTCATGAGCGTCGACTACGCCAGAAGCGCCAGGAACACGTCTCTACCGCTCTGAACGCTCTCTCGCGTGACGCCCACACTGCCACCCGCAAGCTGGACGACACCTACTATGCTCTACTCCAAAAGGTCGGTCTGCTCAAGGCCACTATTGCTTCCTTCCAAGACCTACACTCCTGCCTCGACGACACCACAAAAGACTTTGCCACAAGATCGGTTTCTCTGGTCAAGGACATTACTGGCCAGATTGATGCCTTCCAGGACATGTCCCAGCAAGACGAGTCCATCGATCAGCTAGTCAAGCGACTTCACAAGGCTAAGGAACGAGCAGAGACTTGCGAGTCCAGACTAGAGTCTTGTCGCTTGCGTCTGGAGAAATGGGAAAAGAAAGAGCAAGAAAAGAACAAACGAAACAATCGCACCTGGGCTCTAGCCTTGACCTCCCTGGCCGCTCTTGTCATGCTCATTCTTGCCATCGTACTTTGGAGAAAGGGCTCTCTGGCTTCGGTGACTGAAAAGCCGTCCGAGTGGAAAGAAGCGCTGGGTCTGGAGAGGAACAAGACTGCTCCTGGTATACATCTTGTCGACCCTAAACAAGAAAAGCTGCAAGCCAAAGAAGCTGTCAAGTGGGACAGATTGCTTGATGAACTCTGAGCATATGTGCTTGAGAGTAGTACATTCCTCATCTGCATCTGCCCATCTTTGTTCAGCTCTACAATGCCCATGACTCATGTTCTGAGGCAACCCACTTCGAGACGCGCTGGCGTTTCCAGGCAGCCAAGCTTCAATCAATGGCTCAAGTACAGGAGTCCATAACCCTGCATCTTGCTTTCCATCGCTTTCATCAGGCTTCACTCCTACACTCTTTCCAACGAGTGATTTCGACCATACCATATCTCTTCCTCAGCCTTCTTACTGTCATGCCGACACTCGACGAAATTAGCTACTCTCGCGAGGCCACCATTGCTACCTTCCACGATTATTATCAGTTTCTCAAAAGGTGCTCTNTGCCAGAGACTTGTTTCCGCGAGTCTCCCGCTGGTGGCTGGCCCTCTATAACACGAGAGAAAGTGCACCTCATGGGCAAGAACGACGAAGTCTTCGAGCTGATGCGCCATCTCCCTTACATCTGGGAGGACTGTCTACTTGCGCCCGAATCCAGAGTTGCCAATTGGCCGACCTTGCTCGAACGAATGTCTTTTGACCATATCTTCGAAACGGAGGGCCCCGAGGGCATAAGGATAATTACCGAGGGACTAGACTGGCCCAACATACCCTCATCAGCCTTTAGCCTCACATGCGGCGGCCGCAATAACTGTGTGTTCATCCTCGACACAAAGTACGGCACGGTACACACATTGAACACTCCCGAGTTCGTACACCCCTCAAAGCCGCCCCTCACTGCGAGGAATGGTGGGAGCGACCCCTTTGAATTTTGCGTCCCAGGGAATGAGCAGGGCTGGCGAAGCAACACATCATGGTCTATTCCAGACTTTTTCGACGTTCTTAAAAACGAGTACGTGGCAATGAGATACTTGCCCTACAATGACGACAGAATCGAAGAGTTGTACGACAACTATGGAAAAGACGAGATTCCTTCAGATTCAGAGATTTTGTATGGCTTGGTCAAGGAGATTTACGAAGAGCATGGTTGGCCAGATTTGTCTGTTTACGACAAAGAGAAATGCTGGATTGCGGTGGACAAGTTGATCAAAGATCGTTTTCCGAAGGAGGATTATTAGGCCAGGTATCCGGTGATGCCTCTCGAAACCAGGAACACAGCCATTTCCGTCCAACAGGACTACTTGCAAACAGAGTCGTGAACATACGTGTGATCATTCCAACCTCTATGATCAGCCCTCGAGCAGGATAATGTTTTATGCCCACCATGGGCGAAGCTGAGACCTCTATATCGCAATGCGTCTGGTTGATTGCCTATCAAGATGCAAGGTGCTTTTCAGAGTAGCAGTCATGTCCAGAGATGGGCGTCAAGCAATTGTTCTCATTGGGCCTGACTCTGCTTTCCAGAACTACTGTGCTACTTTACAATTGAAACTCTAACGTTTCGTCAATCGGAGAAACACGAACAGGCAGCAGGACCAAATTATCTGAGGCGTGTTTTCTGCCTCGAGAGGCACCGTTTCGACTGCTTGTAGAAGCATAATGCTTTCCAGATTGGCCCGAGAGATGAGCTTCGAGTAGTGACTTTCAGTGGGCACGGCACGGAATGTCATACAGCCTATGACATCTGATAGCTCAGAGATCAGCACGTTGCGCATGGAAACACATGAGAAAGCTATGCACAGCAGCAGGGGTTGTTGTTCATTCAACCCGAAACAGTATATCCACCCGGAGTATTCACTCTTTTCCGAGCATAGGGTCTTTCTTCAACTGACGGAACCACCTCGCCTGCCTATCTGGCAGTTCCGTAAATCTGTCTGAGAAGTACTTCGATAGTTTCGCCCTTGGCCCAGTCCAAAGGATAGATTTTCTTGGTTTTGAGCGTGTACTCCTTGAGTTGTTTGTAGGTGTCAAATTTATCGACCTTGCTGTCGCCACGACGGGAATCCATCAGATCGATGAGGTTGACATGGGTACGCTTCAAGACCTGCCCACCAGTGTTAGTGAATGCTCCAAGCGACCGTTGATCTTCAGAAACTCGCTTTCTTNNGCACTTGTGAACAGTGTTGCGAGGCTTGACATCGAGCTCGACGCAGAGGTACTGGAGGCGCTCGAGCTGATCGGTGATGCCGAGTCTTTGGAAGTGGCCTTCGAGTTCCTCATTGTAGCAGTCACCTCTTTCGCGCTTGGCCTCGTATTTGTTCCACTCTTGAGCCTTTGCCAGACGATTGAATTCGATGCGGATGCTTTGACGGGGGTGGTGGTCGAATTCGGGGAAGCGATCGAAGTATGATGTGATGTTGAAAGGCATCTTTGCTAATGGAGCAGTGATAAGAAGGTAAAATCGAAGTCAGGACTGAACGTGTGGGCGATTTGGTAATGGAGGAAGGAGCGTCCTCAAGATTTGTTCGCGCGACTGGAAAGTGGTTTCGGTTTGGAAGTGATAGAGATCAGCAGTTGCCGTAGCTGTGCACTGCACTCGTCGATCTCTGCTCACTGAAAGACCGCGTACAATTCAATTCACTTTGTTGTCTGAGTGATGTAAGGCGTCGAGCTGTTTTGCTCACTCGACTTGAGAGACAACTTGGCTTTGATCCCGTGTCTCAGGAAGGCAGAATGTTCCTTGTCTCTCTGACCTCTACAACACAGTCTTGAATGTTATTATGAGACACACCGGAAAAGAGAGAAGAGTCTCTGGCAAACTGTTGTCTTGGACTGTACCAGCGAGACCTGGAAGAGCATTCTGCAGAGTACAAAAGTCACAGCCCCCAGTCTTATGCTTCTCGCCATAAACCGTCTCATTCTTCGTCTGCTCAAGGAAGACGCAACTCAAAAGCAATAATGTCCAAACTCTCTGATCACATCTCCTGGAAGTCCACCAGAACCTCTGGAGCTTCCAACAACGTCCACCATTTTTTGGTCTTGTCCACCACATTCGTCATTTGCTTCTGCATCTCCATCATCTTACTCTTTACCTATGCTCTTTATGCTGAGATGGTTCACGCCATGGCCAGTCGCGCTTTTCACAAGGGCGTCAATCGGTCTGGTTCCGCTCTTGTCGCTTTCATCGCCAGCTTCTTTGCTGCTCTGGATGTTGCTCTCTTCGTCGCTGGCTATCATGCAAATCATGTCAAGACTATCTTTGGCGAGAAGGTCTTCCATCTCATCATTCTTCCCGCTGTCAATCACACCATCAATCTCTATGACTTTACTTACAACTACCTTATCGAAATCTCAAACGCCATTGGAAACCGTCTCGGTGAGCTAAAGCTGGGACTGGAGCAAGATGAGAAAACTATGCGTGGGGTCATTGTCATCTCCACTGCAGTGTTGATCGTCTTGTCGCTGTATCTCTGCTTCTCAATCTTCGGTCATCTATCTCAGGAGCAGCTCAGCGATGTCTTTGAGATATACTTCATGGGTCTTCTGGGTCTAGGTTGTCTGGTGGAGGCTGTCTGTATTGCTGTGTGATGGCTGTCCGCCCACACGTCTCTCATTCCTGAGTACATCCTGGATCGCGCCCATGATGTGACCGGATTTCACTGGGGACTCTTGACCATGGTCNGAGACTTGGTAGAGCCTTTGCCTACGACTTCGGACAGCGATATTATTCTTCAGCATCTCAGCGAAGTGCTGCCTGGATCTGAGGAACTTTTCACCTTGCACTTTGACGATGGATCTACCGAGTTCGCTATCAAATCCGTCGTCGTCCTCGCTTCTCGAGCTGTACGAGCCCGGCAGGAGATTCTTCGTTTGCTATCTCGAGAGAAACTGACCGTCGAGGACCGTGCGTGAGTCCTGTCTACCTTTGATGCTTTCGATATGATGATGGTACAACTAGTATTCATCTGCTATGAGCTGCTACCAGAGGACACTCCCAGCGACAGTCAGTAAAGAATCGAGGTGAGTATGGATGCACACTGAACAAGAGTGTTGAAGGATATGCATTCTATTCTGATTGTTTTACAGAAGAAGTTACTCAGACGTTCGAGGTTAGCAAGGGGCTCAAACAATCAGTCACGAAAGTCAGTTGAAATGGGGCCTATCAAGAGTGTTTTACCTTTACAAATTTCCATCCCACGATTCTCATGCTCTTCTTTCTTTGTCTGTGGCGTCTCTTCCACACGCTAGCGGCCACATCTTTCGCTATCCATGTCGTAGTCGCCTAGTGTTGGTCACGCTCGCTTTGCCGAAGATGTTCTGTACTACTCTGGACGCCGACAAACTATTGTCCACCATTCTCTACTCCCTCTCTCTCTGGGTAAGCTTCGTCTTATGATCCCTCTGTGCACGACTTCCGTTGACCTAGGTGTTGTTGCTCTGTTCTTAGCACTCTCTCTTATTCCACACAGATGCATCATGCTCTGTGCTGTGCGACAAGTATGGCCTATCTCTTGACAGAGCAAGCATATTCGATACAGGGATGGCGACTCGATTAGCGAGAAGTGCGGTGTCTTTTGAATTCTGTACACACATCTTTGCTGACCTAGGTGTCATTTGATGTCGTTGCTCTACTATCGGGGTTTTTCACGTTGTCACGAGTCGAAGATGCTTCTTGTAGATTGACAAGTTTACCAATGAAAATTTGTTTTCCAGGAAGCGAGTAACTTCTGATGCAGCGACGACGACTCGGCTTGCGACTGTTAACACTCACTTGCTGAGCGCTCTGGTGTGAGCCCTGACGCGGTCCAGCCGACAGGTTTGTGAGGAACCTTCTGCATTGATAGGAACGGCAGCAGGAAAGTCATGTAAGAGCAGGAGGTAATTCTTTTTTCTTGAATAGCAAGTGAGGCAAATAGAAAAACTCAATGACATCAAGAGGTTGGGTGAAGCAATATCACTTTGGTTTGGAATTTCGATTGGTGAAAAGATCAAAAGAAAAACAGGAAGAAAAGAGCAAACACTTAAGAGTCAGAGTCACTTCTATCTAATAGGGCCGGCGCAAGCGTCTTGTCTCTTGGGTTGCTTGTTTGTTGGCAGTCGAACCTCTTCTGGTCTGTTGGTAGCGTTGTTTGTCTTCTCGTTTGCAGCTTCGGCTTCCAATGCCTGGCACTTTCCCTTGTACAACACCTCTCAAATGTCACATTTGCTTCCTTCTTTCAAGTCATCACTCCAGAGTATTCTCGTCTAGGGTTTTATCTGCAAATACATTTTACTTCACCTCTCTGCTTGATGATCATCGACACCTCCTGCCAGAACTTCAGCTCTCCAAGATATCCAGAGTCAACGTTCATCAAGCAGTTATATCAAGACTATACTGGGCTCAATCATCAAGGTGTGTTGGGACAAACTTCATCGCCACTCTGGTTCGCTGACCGACTCACTTCTCAAAGCGACCAGCCATGTCTCCCTCCCAAGACTCCAGACCAACCACCGACCGCTATACCGCTCTAAGTACGTCTAGCTTCACCGAGTCTTTCCGGCTATGAACCAGTCAGAATTGACAAAAATCTTCAAGTCGCCGATCTGAACAAGAAAGCCGAAGCCCAGCGCAAAGAAATCCAAGAAATGGACAAGTTCGAGGCTCTGAGCGAACAAGCCAAAGAACAGAGAGATGGCGTGGAACGATTGAAGGAGAAAATCAATGAAGCTGGAGAGCGCATCGATTATGCTGAGGGTGGTGTGCCGAGAGGATGAGATGATGGAAATTCGGTGTCGAGACGCGCTTGAGGAGAAGTATTACCCTGTTCCAACGACTGTATATGTGGATCAAGTGGGGCAGAAGTCACGTTTACACAATGAATCACAAGACCCTGATCATTGCTTTTGAAAGGGATGTCAAGCACTACAAAAGTGAAGATGACCAGACAAGTAAACAAAGAAACAAACAGACTGAAGATACGACAAAGACACCCGAACCAAGACACCAAATTTTTACAACTTTTCTATATGCTGATCATTATGTTTTCTCCAATGAGAATCAGCACGCTCTGTGGTGTAGTGGCAGCCTTCTCAGTGGCCATCATCTTGAGCGGTATGTCAAACTACAGAGACTGCTGAATCTCTGATCATTTGCTCGATTCTCTTGATCAGCGATTCTTTTTGCACCTCTGGGCAGTGAATTTGCCTCTCTGTTGAGTTTTGCAGTAGCAGAGAGGGAATATCTGTATCTTGCCTTTTTCACAACTCATTGACGTTAATTCACGTTTGAGGCATCATACCCGTTGTATAGGGTTTGCGCTGGAACAATCGTGCGAGTCTCCTACTCCCAAGCAGTTTTTGAGTATGGCTTTTTCTCTGTAAGACTATACCGAAACTGATGAGTCTCAACCTCTTTGTCCTAAGCCATTCCGGTTTATCAAGGACCCCTGAGATGTTCCGTGATATAGGTCTCTCCGAGTAAAGTCGTCGAGTCAACGAAATGAGACCGTCCAACACGTCTCATCGTGTCTCAACACGCTGCCGATGTCTAAGTTTATTTGTCAGTCCACTCTTACAACTAAGCCGCTTGGCTCCTTGCAACACGTTCTCAGATGTAAGAGTTATAAGATCACTATCCACCACACATATCTAATTCTCAAGCTCCATCAAACCAGAAACTTCATCCATGCCAGACTCTACAGAAACCTCCCTATCAACCGAGAACTTCCTCAAGCTTTTCATGGCGCTTCTCCTTCTTTCTGTCTTGATTTTACTCTTCCAATTCGAGGCTACTGTCACGGCAATTCGCCGTGCTGTGCGCAACATGCTCGTTCTTGCTCTTCTACTCATCATGGACTTGTCGACTGGAGTGAGCATGATGCTGAGTCATGGTTGTGTGAAGCTGATCTCCTCCAAAGCTTAAGCATACTGTCTCAAGATCACTGGTGTCGTTGCAAACACCTTCGCTTCCACGATTCAACAACTCAATATCACTGGCAAGATCCAGACTCCTTTGCAGCGAACACTTCTGCTACTGACATTACTACTCGGACTCCAGCTCTCATCTCATCTGCTTCGGCAAATTTGGCTCCGGCGTCCCATAATCAATCGCCTTGGAAAGGACGTCTGCGAACTCGCACTTCTGGTAGTGAAAAACAGCAGTCAGTGTCTTGAACAGCGACTCTGAAGTCTCGAATAACTTATTGTTCAACTTGAAAGCATGTCGATCTGACAGAAAAAGGTCAAAATCACATAGGGACAGTAAGTTTAGGTCAGGGAAGCTGCGAGCGAGCTGTGGAGGATTCAACAGTATTGGCGACCATATTTTTATTGGAAAGATATTGATTTTTATTCATTTCGTCATGAGACCGTTCTCCACGTTGGTTGAGAGTACCGCAAAGTAATCTCTGTGCTCCAAATCCACTGCTTTCATAAACGCGTCCTATAGAC